GCGCGTGTCCTCACGTATGGCCTCTGCGATGCACCACTCTGCGTTTCGAACCTTGCCCCTGCATCCGAAATTGATGACGCCGTCACGCAGTGAATGGTGTTGTTGCCTGGACTTGATCACAGAAAGGAACTCCTCCTTGCTAGGGGCACCAATCCTCTCAGCGACGGGTGCTCCGAAGAAACGGCCGTAGGCATCAGCGTGAACGACGGATTCAGCATGCCGTTTCAAGTGGCTGATCTGCAGCGTCGTAGGCGAGTCAATCTCGTACCGGCCCCAAGCAGTATCCGTGTGAAAAGCAGCGCAAAGGCGGCATCCCGCCTTGCCGTTGACCACCGTCAGCCAGAGACCGCTCTCCAAATCGGACGGGTCGATACACATGAAGTCCCGCTTGCGCCACAGGTGGGACAATTCCTTGAAAGTCGCCTCCACGCTGCGCTGTCTGGTTCTGCCCGTTTTCGTGTCCGTCGATTTCTCAGGCGTGGGTTCTGGGGCCGTCCACTTCGTCACAGTCTTCAGGGCTGCCGCTGGCGGCGGCTTATGCGGCGTCACGGGTGCATCGTCGAAGAAGCCACATTCGTGGTCCATGAAATAAGATGCAATCGTCGTGGTCAGTACAAAAGGCAAGGACTGCGAGCCAAAACGGCTACGGAGGAGGAGAGGGAGGATGAGGGGCCCCCGATTGGGTCCGTAGACATCCACGGGATCCTTTGTGCGACGCCCCACAAAGTTATCTAGTGGCCTTCGGCCCCTCGGATGCCTTTCGGGGGCTTCTTGGAGGCAGTTTTGAGGCATTTTGGGGGCTGCTTGGAGGTCTCTCAGGGCTTTCTGTTGGGCCTCTTGGGGGCCTCGTGGAGCATCGCGGGGGCCTCTTAGGGGTCTCTTGGAGGCCTCGTGGGGTCTCCTGGGGCCTTCTTGGAGCGGAGGTCTCGAATTGTCGGTTCGTGTTCCCCCTATTGGGCCCCTCTTGGGGCCATATTGGGGCCCTCGCAGGCCATCTTGGGCGCCTCCTGGGCTGTTTGGGAGCCCGTTTGGGCCGTTTTGGGGTCATCTTGAGGGCCTCTTGGGCCGTATTGGGGCGGTCTTTGGGGCCTCGTGGTCCGTCTTGGAACGTCAGAAGGTCAACAAAAACGAGAGCACCAAAAACATTGAAAACGCACAACGAGAACCTATGATGTTGGCCTCTTGGAGCCCTCTTGGAAGGCCTCTTGGAGCGCTCTTGGGGCCTCTTGAAGGCCTCTTGAGCAGTCTTGTGCCATCTGGGGCGTCTTGGAGCGCTCTTGGGCCGTCTTGGAGGCCTCTTTGGCCCTCTTGGGCGATTCTTGGGGCCCTCTTGGCCCGTCTTGGGGCCCCGTGGCCTCTGGAAAATCCATGCGACCGACGAGCCCGGGAGCGCCCAGGAGCGCGCAAGAGCGCGCAGGATCGCCCAGGAAATTGGCACAGGACTCAGGACAGAGAACCCTTGAGAGCCTTAGGACACTCCCCTCGCGCCTTGCGCCACGGTGGCGGATTATTAATCCACGTGGGCCCACATGAGTCTGAGAGTGGCTAACGTGCGCTAGAGTTTTTTTAAGAGGGCCCAGGATGGCTCCAATACGCCCCATATAAGCTAAGACGGCTTCAGAGATTGCTCAAGACAGCCCATGATGGCTCATGTCCTCCAACATGCATCCAAGAGGTTACATGCCAGTTCCAAGACGGCCTCAAAAGGCAGCGGAACATTACATGACGATTCCAGATGGGCCAACATCACTCGAAACTTTGAGGTGGGCTGTTGCGGGGTATTCGAACCGTCAACAATCACACAACGCGAAGCACCGTCAACAATCACACACCGCGAAGCGTCATGAATATTAAGACGCGAAGCGTCATGAATAGTCAATATTATGAAGCGGCCGAGCCTCAAGAACATGCAGGTGCGCGTGACCGCGACGCGAAGCGTCAGGTATCTCCAGAATGTTAAGAAGATCAATATACGAAGCGTGAATGATACCAAGAACATCGAGACACGAAAACGCTCCAGCACTCAATCTCCTGGCAAATCACCTAGGCACCGCTTCCGGATGGGCTGGCAGTTTTGAGGATGTACCAGTGTTGACATCACATATATACAACAATTTGTGGATACAGAGGGGCATCTGACATCAAAAATGCACGGGAGCATGGGAACCGGTGCGGGTTGAGATACACGGGGAGCCAAGTGAAATACCAGAGGGCCCATTGAAAAGTTTATGGAGCCTATTGAAATACGAAAGGAATCCGTCTTTATGGAGCCTTTATGGAGCCTATGTTTATGGAGCCTTTTATGGAGCCTTTTATGGAGCCTGTTTTATTGACCCAATGAAATACCAAAGAGACCGACTCCAACACTCATAACCTTGCAATGGCTAAACTGCGTGTCTTGTGGACCAGTTCCGAGGCTGGGGGTGCAACAATGACAAGCGTAATTGCATGATAACAAAAAGAGACACATCATGTTAAGGTCCACGGATGAGGAACGTTGCAATACAAAATCTGAGCGCCGTTGCGGATGGAATGTCTTAGAGATACAATGCACGCGGGCGCGATCGTGGCGCCGCGGCGCCAACGCCACACTTAGCAGAATGAAGCTCCTAACCTAACTGCGATTGCGATTCCTCGAGGCCTAAGTTCTGCAAGCCTGAGAAGTAGTCGTCGTATCCACATGGGGGCAGCGAGTCGAGCTGCGTTTCCTCAAGCTGCTGCGGCTCCTGTGACAACGCATCGGGCGGCTGTGGGCTGCTGGGGGCCACGACCGCCTGCGTCTCAGCCAAGATGGCCGACTCGGCGCAGGGGTCTGGGAGCGCCGCTGGCAACGTCGGCGCCGTAGCCAACGCATCACCGGCGGGAGCGTCGCTCTTCGTCTCGGGGCCGTCGTCGATGTCAATGACCATCTGCTTTGCTGGCGGCTGCGCCGGCGCCGGCGCCTCGAGCAGCAAGCGGCGCGGCCAAGTACCCGCACTGCTGCTGCTGCTCTGCTGCCCTCCATCGCCCTTGTCGTAGCCGAAGGTCTGGCCCATCTCATTTGTCAGCGTCTGGCCCATCTCCTTCGTCGGCTTCTTGCACAGCCACCCGCTGCTGGGAGCAGGCATCGAAGATTTGACAGCGGCGAGAGCCTTCTTGTCTTTGGGGGGCTCCGTCGGCGCCGCCATGGCGCACTGCTGCCTGCTGTCAATGATGCCCGTCTTGTCGATTGCGCCACAGTGGCGCTTCCTGGATTCATCATCACCTGCACCTGCGACCTCGGGAACATCACGGAGGCCAGGCGAACTGCGAAAAGGGTATTTGACCTCAGGAACTTCGATCTGAACAAGCGTAGGTGCCCGCCCTCGTTTGAAATAGAACTTACAAGGTATCATCGTCGTGATCATTTTGCCATCAAGGTCAGCTGGTATAGATTCGTCCGACAACCTAACGTTGAGCTGCATATCTATATCTCCAACAGTGGACGCCATCTTATCGTAGCTCGATTGTAGGCTCATCGTGCAAAGGGGCAGGGCGTGCCCTGTGCAGGCCTTCGCCTGGCAACACCTACTTCGTGCCGACAACGGCTTGGGCCAAGACGCCCTAAGACGCCTAAGGCCCCAAGACGCCTAAGACCCCAAGACGCCTAAGGCCCCAAGACACCCCAACACGCCTAAGGCCCCCAAACACCCCAAGACGCCTAAGGCCCCAAGACGCCCCAAGACGCCTAAGGCCCAAGACACCCCAAGACACCCCGAGACGCCTAAGGCCCCAAGACGCCCCAGACGCCTAAGGCCCCAAGACGCCCCAAGACGCCTAAGGCCCCAAGACACCCCAAGACGCCTAAGGCCTCTTGACACCCCCAGACGCCTAAGGCCCCAAGACACCCCGAGACGCCTAAGGCCCCAAGACGCCCCAAGACGCCTAAGGCCCCAAGACGCCCCAAGACGCCTAAGGCCCCAAGACACCCCAAGACGCCTAAGGCCTCTAGACACCCCCAGACGCCTAAGGCCCCAAGACACCCCGAGACGCCTAAGGCCCCAAGACGCCCCAAGACGCCTAAGGCCTCGAGACGCTCTAAGACGCCTAAGGCCCCAAGACACCCCCAGACGCCTAAGGCACCAAGACACCCCGAGAGTTTTCGTCCGGCAGGGAAGAATGACCGCCCGAGGCGCCTCGGCCAACCCGATCGCCGAGGCACCTCGACCAGGCGTGTGAGAAACTACTTGATGCTCCAATCGCACGGCGCCGCGACATGGCGCGCCACCACGCCATATTGTGCACATGCATGCGCGTATCATACAAAACACGTGCGTCGTCGATGCATCTATACGCATAAAGATGTGTGTGCATACACATAAGATGTGCGTGTACGTACTTATGCAGGTCTGTGCGTGTGAATGCAGGTGTCTTTGTGTATATGCGTGCGTGTATGCATATGATTGTGCACGCGCATGAACCCCATACGCCAATACGTACGTTCATGCATCCACGCTTAACACAAAGTGGTTTAAACGTACACACAAAAGTACATACATATATAAGCCGTGCGCATACACTCGCACATCACGCATGTGTGTGTTACACAGTGTAGTAACATCCGCCATCTTGATGTGTGTATCGTGCACAGACCATTCGTCACATGTCTGCGTTTATTATGCGTGCCATCATGCGTCACGTTTTATTAATCACACCTAAAACGCTAGATTACGCGAGCGCGTGTTCATAATATGTTTACACATCACATAACGAGCACGCGTACGTATGACATGCGTCCTACATTACACGTTTATGTGTATACGTATGCCATGCTAGAGTTTGAGCACAGACGTGTTATATGTTACGACAGGTATATCATACGGACACCCATACGTTTTCTGTGCTGTGGTCAGTGATGTTTGTGCCCCATACACATATTAACTAGCCAAACCTCGCCCCACCCCCTTTCCGAAGCCCCACAACCAAAACCCAAAAACCCACACTAAAAGCCAGAAAGCCGGGGCACCCAGACGCCCAGACGCCCGGACGCCGGGGCACCCGGACGCCCGGACGCGCGGACGCCCGGACGCCCGGACGCCCGGACGCCCGGACACCCACGCACCCGGGCACCCGGGCACCCGGGCACCCGGACACCCGGGCACCCGGACGCCCGGACGCCCGGACACCCAGGCGGCACCCGGGCACCCGGGCACCCGGACGCCCCAACACCCGGGCGTCCGGGCACCCGGGCACCCGGACACCCCGACACCCAGACCTACACCGTGGCACCCGGGCACCCAGGCACCCGGCCGGGCACGGGGAAGATCCAGATGAAGATGTGGGTGAAGGAGGAGGAGGAGGAGGAAGAGGAGGAGGAGGAGGAGGAGGAAAACGGACAGACATAATAGCCTCCGCGGATGTCTGGAGCGTCTGGGGGGCATCTTGGGTGCTTCGGGGATCCTCCTGACGCCTCTTGGGGGCCTCTTGGAGGTCTCTTGGGAGCCTCTTGGAGGCTTCTTCGGCGCCTCTTGGGGTCCTCTTGGAGCGCTCTTGGGAGCTTTAGGGGCGCTCTCCTCGAGAGAAATACTGTCGGTTTCGATCCCGTCATTGAGTATAGCATTGGTATCAGCACGAGTAGTACCACTTTAAACACCACTCGTAGTAGTCCGGGCAGTGGAGCAGCACTCCCGCCGCGAAAACAACGTCGTCGTCGCCGCCGCCGCCGCCACCGCCGCCGCCACCGCCGCCGCCGTCGCGACGTCGTCGTCGTCGTCGTCGTCGTCGTCGTCGTCGTCGTCGTCGTCGTCGTCGTCGTCGTCGTCGTCGTCCTCGTCGTCCTCGTCGTCGTCGTCGTCGTCGTCCTCGTCGTCCTCGTCGTCTTCGAGGATGTCAGGTTTCTGAATGTTTTGGGCCCCCGCTGGGCTTCAGAGGCGTTCCGAAGGTGCCCAGGGACTTGTGGGGACTTCCGGAGACTTCCGGCAGTCCGGCATTTTTTAGATAGTGTGCGAACCATTCGATTTCGTCCTGCTGTTCTCTCTCCGCTGCCGCCGCCGCCGCCGCCGTCGTCGTCGTCGTCGTCGTCGTCGTCGTCGTCGTCGTCGTCGTCGTCCCGCGTCGTCGTCGTCGTCGTCGTCGTCGTCGTCGTCGTCGTCCCGCTCGGCCGGCCCGCCGGCCGCCTCGGCTCGCCTCGGCTCGGCCTGCGAGGATGATGATGATGATGATGATGATCATGTTGATGAGGAGAGGAGGAGGAGGAGGAGGAGGAGGAGGAGGAGGAGGAGGAGGAGGAGAGCGAGGAGCCGGGGGTGGAATTTGACGCAAGGGGAGGGCGGCGGGGGAGGAGGAGGAGTGGGAGGAGGACATGGAGGAGGACGGGGAGCAGCAGGCGTTCGCAACCCGCATCTCGGGCTGCATGCCGGCGAACAGCATCCAGGGAGAAGGCGAGGGCGAGGAGCAGGAGGAGGAGGAGGATGAGGAGGAGGAGGCCCGTTTCGCGTGAGACATCCTCGGAAGTCTGGGTTCAGAGATGTCGCGACTTGAGATGATCTGGGCACCCTCGCCTCGGACATCCTCACCACTCTGGGTTCGCAAATGCGGGTCTCGAAGTGTTTCGGCTGGCTCCGCGTGAGACATCGTCGGCGCTCTGGAGTCCGATATGCTTTGACATGAGGTGATCTGGCCAATGTCGCCTGAGACATCGTCGCAATTCTGACCTCGGAGATGCCCTGCCCCATGGTGTTTCGGCCACTTTCGCCGGAGACATCCTCGCAACTCTGGGTTCCGAGACGCCCTGAGCTGAAGTGGTCAGACCATTTCCGCCAGAGACATCCTCGCAACTCTGACCTCAGAGATCTCCTGCCCCATGGTGGTCCGGCCACTGTCGCCTGAGACATCCTCGCAAGTCTCGATTCCGATATGCTTTGGGCTCAGGTGGTCAGGCCACTGTCGCCAGAGACATTCTCGCAACTCTGATCTCGGATATGCTCTCCCCCATGGTGGCTCGGCCTGTCTAGCCTGAGATCCTCGCAACTCTGGATTCCGAGATGCCCTGAGCAGGTGGTCAGGCCACTGTCGCCTCAGACATCGTCGCAACTCTGACCTTGAAGACGCCCTGCCCCATGGTGGCCTGGCCACTTTCGCTTGAAACATCTTCGCAACTCTGGGTTTTGAGACGCCCTGGGCTGAGCTGGTTTAACTGTTTTCGCCAGAGACATCCTCACAACACTGACCTCGATGATGTCCTGCCCCATGGAGGTCCGGCCACTTTCGCCTGAGACATCCTCGCAAGTCTCGATTCCGAGATGCCCTGAGTTTAGGTGGTCCGTCCACTGTCGCCTGAGACATCCTTGCAACTCTGATCTCGGGTATGCCCTGCTCCATGGTGGTTCGGCCTCTCTCGCTTGAAACCCTCGCAACTCTGGGTTCCGAGAAGCCCTCAGCAGGTGGTCGGGCCACTCCTTCATGAGACATCCTCGCAACTCTGGGTTCCAAGACGCCCTGAGCTGAGGTGGTTTAACCATGTTCGCCAGAGACATCCTCACCACTCTGACCTCGATGATGTCCTGCCCCCTGGTGGCCCAGCCACATTCGCCTGAGACGACATCCTCTCAATCTTTCCAGAATTTGTCCCGGTCGTGGCCTAGCATAGCGTCCCGGTCTTGGCTTGCACTGTATCTCTACGTGTACATATATACATACATACACATCTTTACGTTCATACGTGTATACATATTCCGCAATCAGAGCTTGCCTCCGCAGGGGTTCTAGCGGATTCCCATGGTTAGGTGAACCGGGCCGCCGATTTCGGTGGCCGGGCCCAGATGCCCGGGGGTGCCCTATAGCCCCATAGCCATATAACCCCATCAATCCAATTAGCCCAAGTGGTCCCATTAGGCCAATTTGCCCATAAACCCAATAGCCAAATAGCCAATCAGCCCTATAGCCCTCAAGCTCATAGCCCTATCGCCCTATAGTCCAAAAGCCTTCAAGCCTTATAGCCCTATAGCCTTATAGCCCTATAGCCATATAACACGATATCCCTATAGCCATATAGCACAATAGCCCATATAGACTTATAGCCCTATAGCCCGATAGCCCTGTAGCCCTATAGCCCCTTGCCCGTATAGCCCTATAGCCCTATAGCCCTGTAGCCCTATAGGCCTATAGCCCTATAGCCCTATAGTTATGTAGCCCTATAGCCCTATAGCCCGCCAACCCTGTTGCCCCATAGCCCTATATCCCTAGAACCCCATAGCCCTATATCTCTACAGCCCTTTAGCCCTACAGCCCTACAGCCCATTAGCCCTATAACTCCATAGCCCTATAGCCGTATAGCCCTATAGCCCTATACCATATAGCCCTATAGCCCCATAGCCCCATAGTCCTACAGCCCTATAGCCCTATAGCCCTAGCCCTACAGCCCATAACCGTATAGCTCGATAGCCCTATAACATTTTAGCCATATAGCGCTAGAATCCTATAGCCCCATAGGCAAATAACGCTATTGCCATTTAGCCATATAGCCCTATGGCTCTATACCCCCATAGACCTACAGCCCGTTATCCCTATGGCCCTACAGCCCTATAGCTTTATATACCTTATAGCCCTATAGCCAAATATCCCTATAGCCCGATGGCCCAATAGCCCTATATCCCTATAGTTAGCCATGTTTCCATGTTGCGATACAGCCCCATAGCTCAATAACCTTATAGCCCCATAACAACAACAAATATGATTGTTTCTTTTCTCTGGTGTTCTATACTCATGTTTGTAACCGGGCCTACATACACTTTCGCATTGGGGCATCAGGGAGCCTGAACGCCGTCGCAACAGGGCGCCCGGACACCTGGACACCCATGGTGCAGACGCCCGGGCACCCGGACACCCGGACACCCGGACACCCGGACGCCTGGACACCCAGGCACCCGGAGACCCGGGCACCCGGACACCCAGGCACCCGGACACCCGGACACCCGGACACATGGACACCCGAGCACCGGGACACCCGGACACCCGGACACCCAGGCACCCAGGCACCCGGACACCCGGACACCCGGACACCGGGCCCGGACACCCGGACACCCGGGCACTCGGACACCCGGGCACCCGGACACCCAGGCACCCGGGCACCCGGGCGCCCGGACACCCGGGCACCCGGACACCCGGACACCCGGGCACCCGGACACCCGGACGCCCGGACACCCGGACACCCGGACACCCGCACACCTGCGGGCACCCGGACACCCGGGCACCCGGACACCCGGGCACCCGGACACCCGGGCGCCCGGACACCCGGACACCCGGACACCCGGGCACCCGGACACCCGGACACCCGGGCACCCGGGCACCCGGGCACCCGGACACCCGGGCGCCCGGACACCCGGACACCCGGACACCCGGACACCCGGACGCCCAGACTTCCAGGCACCTGGGCACCCAGACGCCTGGACGCCCAGACGCCCGGACGCCTGGACACCCGGACACCCGGGCACCCGGACACCCGGACACCCGCCGGACACCCGGCCACCCGGACACCCGGCCACCCGGACACCCGGACACCCGGACACCCGGGCACCCGGGCACCTGGGCACCCTCACACCCGGACACCCGGGCACCCGGACACCAGGGCACCCGGACACCCGGACGCCGGGACGCCTAGACACCCGGACACCCGGACACCCGGACACCCGGACACCCGGGCACCCGGACACCCGGACAGCCGGACGCCCGGACGCCCGGACACCCGGACACCCGGACGCCCGGACGCCCGGACACCCGGACACCCGGACGCCCGGACACCCGGGCACCCGGACAGCCGGACACCCGGACACCCGGACGCCCGGACACCCGGACACCCGGACATCCGGACACCCGGACACCCGGACACCCGGGCACCCGGACACCCCGACACCCGGGCACCAGGACACCCGGGCACCCGGACACCCAGACACCCGGACACCCGGACACCCGGACGCCCGGACACCCGGACACCCGGACACCAGGACGCCCGGACACCCGGACGCCCGGACGCCCGGACGCCCGGGCACCCGGACACACGGACACCCGGACACGCGCCCGGGCACGCACCTGGGCACCCGGGCACGCGCCCGGGCACGGTAAAATAGTCATATACCCCAAGTCGGGCCTCCACGCAGCCAAGACGGCCACCGACGGCTTCAGATTGCAGAACCGATGCCCCCAAGGGACCCTCAGACGCCCCCCCAAGAAGCACCCAAGAGGTGCCTCCAACAGCCAGTTGACGAAGCATGCGGAACACCCCAGAAGCTCCTCAGATGCCGTCGCGCGCCTGTGCTTGATAGCGTTGTCCAAGATCGTCCAGCGCCCCCCCGGCCTGGGCTAGAACCTGAGCGCGCGCGAAGCGCGCGCGATGTTTCTAGCCCAGGGGCCCGAAAACAGCTGCCCGACACTCCATGGGAGTACCGGGGCTCATTTCCCCTTTGTTTTTATTGGGTTTCGGCGTCCCGGGCCTCGGAGGCCGCCGCGATGGTCCCGGACATTTTCCAGATCCTCGGCGCGGGCTCCAAGACCATTCCGCAGAGGGCTCCAACAGGCTCCAGGGCAGCCCAAGAGGGCTCCAAGACGGCTCCAGGAACGACTGCAAGACAAGACAAGACAAGAAGCCGTGCATCCATGAAGGACGCGTGGGCAGAAATAGCAACTAAAAAGTTGCCGCGGCCGCAGCGGGCGCCTCAAGGGGGAGGCGGCGGAGGAGGCAGAAAAGCTTCAGATGCTCAGGTGTTCGAGATTGTAGACGGATTGTGCCCATTGCTGCCTTGGTCTCCCTCTGCGCCGGCGGAGTGCCCAATCTTTGGGCGTGCCGTCTGCGTTGCACACCACCCGCTTCACCAAGGAATCGTCTGTTTGTGCAACAAGTTTCCTATACAACTTGCATTGGCGATCACGTAAAATTGCAGAGAGAGGCTTGGAACCGGCACGCGTCAGAACGGCTGCGTTCGGAACTCTCGAAAAGTAGGAATGAGGTATGCCTAATATCTTGCGCAGGCACCTGCAATGAAAAGCGTCCAGCCTTGTTCTGTCAACCTTTAGCAGCCACAGAGAATCCAAGGAGTAGAGGACCTTGCTCAACACGCAGCTGGTGTAGATCTGCAACTTCCTTGCCCTGCTGATTGCAGCATGCTTCCAAATCTTACAAAGCTGTTGGAATATGCCTTTCCCTTCGCCAAGTCGCCGGTTCAATTCATTTCCCACTCGCCCATCGTGCGTGATCAAGCCTCCTAAGTAGACTGCCTCTGTAACTTGTGTAATGGGCTCCCCGGTCGGCCTCGCCACCACGCTGTCTGAAGCCACTGGCATCTGCAGAGTCTTGTCCCAGTTAAGCTCCAGGCCATATTTGCGTCCTTCCGAAACGACAGCATTAAGTAGAGATTGGCAGTTTTCCCCATGTCTTGATAGTAGCAACGTATCATCCGCGTAAAGCACGTCTCGGGTAACCACATATCCGGGTTCATCTCGTAGCTGGAGACCGTGGTATACATCATGAAGCATGACACTCTGAACCATATGAACAAGTACGGGGATAGAGGACAACCCTGAGCTATTCCAGCAGCCTGCCGCCTTTCCGTAGAGCAGCCGCAATGATCCACTATGGTGAAGAAGCGCTCCGAGTATATGCCTTTGATCATGTCTACCATCGGAGAAGGGACCCCAAAGCGCATCAAAGCTGCACACAAGCATTCCGGCTTTAACCTGTCGAACGCCTTTGCCCAATCAAGCAAGATTATCGTAAGGCCCCCGGTGTTGTCCACGTTGGCCGCATCGATGATTCGCCTGATCAACATGAGAGCGTCTGCCGTTCCCCGCCGAGGCCGGAAACCGAATTGAGATGATCTCATTCGTTCTTCAGCTCCTCCTCGTAAGAGCCTCTGGTGGAGCATTGACGCCAGTGCCTTGTAGCCAACAGTCAACAAAGAAATCGGGCGGTAGTTGCTAGGCAACGTGTGGTCTCCTTTCTTAAATAGAAGTATTACTTTCGCCCTCCTCCATTTGTCCGGGATATCTTTAGTCGCCCAGCATGTTTGGCAGATTTCCAGTAGAGCCCCGCACGCATGGGCATCTTCAGAAACGATTTTCCAGAATTCTGGCGGGACGTCATCTGGGCCAGCGGCTTTCCCATTTCTCATTTTCCGCAAAGCTTGTTGTAGCTCCCCCAGCGCGAAGGCAGACACATCCACTGGCAACTCGCTGCCCAAAGTGCTTGTTGACGTAGGGCTGATATCTGCAAAGTTGACTTCCCATTGGATCTTCTCAAAGTAATCTGCCAAAGCGTCTGGCCTGCCAGCGGTGTCAGTCAAATTATTGTTCATGTCACGTACTCCTGCGTGCTTCATCTGCGGCTTCTTCCTGAGTTGCTTTACGGCGTCCCATTTTCCTCCCACCAGCGTCTCATGAATCCAATTCGTGCGATCATGCCGGGCTGCCTTCCGGATACGCTTGTGAAGTAGGCGCTCTGCTTGATAATCTCCAGAGCGGCGGCATGCGTCTCTCTGTTCAATCAAATCCAATGTAGATTGGGAAATCCATTCTTTCTTAGCTCGAGCGGGCCTTGTCCGTAATGTGGAAGACGCTGAAGCGAACGCTCGCTCGATGTTGTTGGCCATGTCGTTATGCGATCCCTTCGGCGGCCGGTTGGCCTCCCAAGCCTCAGTGAAAGCCCTGGTAAATGCAGCCTTGGTGTCCGGCTCCTGGACAGAAGATGCATCTTTTTGACATTGTGCTTGCGTGTCACGGTGTTTCTTGAATGCGAAATTCACCATCACCTTGGTCAGGAAGTGGTGGCTGTTCAATGCTACGGTACGGTCTGTCCTGCAATCTTGTACCCAAGGTAATACCGTGTTATGACACAACACGTGGTCAATTTGACTGAATTTGTCCGGCGAAATCGGCTCTGACGGTCGAGTCCCCAAGTTTCTGAACGTAATCTGTTCTTCCACTGGTACCTTGAAAAACGTATTCGCTACCAACATGTCCTTCTCGATACAGTATTCGATCAAAAGTTGTCTGTTAGATACTTGTTGCAGGATGCTGCGGGCTGACCCACCCGAGAATACACTATCTCCAATAATGTCTGATTCCCCCAATCCTTGCTGCAACAACTTGGCGTTGAAGTCGCCCAGTACTAAAGTAGTGCTGTGCGTTGTCGTGGGTTTCGTTATTGCGCCCAACTCGGAAAAGAAATGTTGCCTCTCGTCGTAATCGTGCCCGCTGTGTGGCGCGTACGCGGAGATAAGATCCAAGACACCATGTTGCACTCGAAGCCGCACTGATGCCAATCTTGGCGAATATGTCCTGAAAGCTACAAGTGATGCCCGTGCCCATGGAGCTATTATAAAACCGACTCCTGCGTTGGAAAGCCGTTCTGCGTCGAGTTCCCCGGATAAACAAATTAAGAATCCAAGCTCTTCTTCATAATATGCGCCATGAAGTTGCGTCTCTTGGATACAAAGAATTCCCAGCCCAATGGAGTTCATCATCCGGAACAGCTCGGTAAGCTTGATCCTGGAGTCGCCTCGGAGTCCTTCAACATTCCAAGAACCCAATTGTTCCGAACCCAGCGGAACGCAAGAGCGGCGAGGTTGACACCATAAAGCTGTCTGCCTCGTGGAATGTGTCTGTCCCCCGGCCTGTTGCTGAGTTCGGTGGCCCACGCAAGTACGGGAAGAAGAATGCGAGCCTGTCCTGGCCGACTGTGCCTCGATGTCGGGGCCCTCGTTGTCGTCGGTCAGCCCGTCGACGGGGGCAGCGGCGAAGTGAAGGTTGAGGACCGCCGGGGCCCTGAGTGAAACATGGTCACGATGGGCCCGCCCTTCGGGAACGGCACCCGCGCAAGAAGATGGTGAGGATGTATGTGATGAAGGTGTGCATGTGTAGATGGCCGTAGTGGCAACTTTGTCCAGTATACGTCCATCACAAAATGAACTATCATGCGTTGGAAGGCTTACGGAAACGGTAGCTTTGCCCATCACCGAACCAGATCCCAGAGGAGGGGAAGATGCGGACGTCAGAGCTGGGGATGCCTGCGCCGAAGTAGCCTGGCGGGCCAGAGTCCTCGGCGGTGGCACGCGAGACGCTGATGTAGAAGAAGCTGGGGGAGTAGGAGGAGACGAAGATAAATAAGATGGAGTATGAAATTGTAATTGTTGCTGCGGCTTGGAGTTGTCGCCCATGCCGGCTGCAGAAAATGTGCGGGATGCCAGAGGTCTGAACATAGCGGTAGCTTTGCCCTGGTTACGCCCAGAACCATCGGACTCAAGAGAACTAGGATGAGGAGGTCCATCTTCAACGTATCTGTTGACGACTTTTCTGGGGCAGACATCTGAAACCGACTTGTTGGAGAAATTGGTAACTTTGCCCAGCATATCCCCAATGATCAAAAAGTTAGGCGGGTCAGATTGCGGATGTCCTTGTTCACCGGCTCCGGTATCAAGTCGGACGTTCCCTGATAGTTGCCGCATTTCCTACGCTTTCCCGTCACCCTTAGATTTGCCCTTCGCCCCTCCCTTCATCCCTGCAGTCGCCCGGGTGACTAAGGAATCGCATTTAGCTATCAATTCTTTTAGTTTTTCGTGTTGTTGTAGTTCCTCCCACTTCTCCCATTCCTCCTCCCACTTACGAGTAAGATGCGTGCCGTCCGTAGTAACAGTGAGAGCCAACTGACCACCCACTCGAACTTGGTAAGGAGCGTTATTTGATACATTTATGGTGTAGGTCGAGTGCATGGTGTCCTTGAGGAAATACTTCAGCCCGAAACAGAAATTCCGAGCGGCCCTCTCTAATGGATGGCGGTCGGGCGAAGCCCATACAGTATTCCCATTCAAATCGAACTTCGCACTTTTGATCAGAGCCACGGCAGTATCCCTGTCCAGCGTGGTGGCGAACTCTGCATACAACATTGTGGTCGTATCGCCTTTCATGTGCAGGTTGTACGGGGTGGGGCCGTCTGCTTCGGATAGTTTTTCCTTGATCCATGCTGCCGCTGTGTTGAACATGTCGAACCCCGCAAGGTTCCCAAAGACACCAGTCAACGACCGCTTCTCATCAGGATCATGCTGTGAACGGCAAACAGGTGCGCCACGCTGTTGTTTAAGCTGTTGAAGGTCCCGTTCAAGCTCTTGCAGTTTCTTGTGCGCCGCCGTGTCTATACTTGACGCTGTCCTTGCAGAAGTGGGACCTGAAGTTGGCGGACGTGACGTGTAATTCGACTCCAATAAGCCAATCCTCTTGGTCAAGCCGTCAATCTCGTCCTTCAGTGGGTTGATGGCCGTCTGGAGGTCATGTTGTGAAACACCGTGCTCCTTAATGGCCAAAATATCTTTCCGGATCGGGTCCAACTGCTCGTTCAAAATCTCCCGGAAAGTATCGGTAGTGAGTGCTTGAGGGGTCTTGCTCATCATGTTGGAGCCAGTCGCCTCGCCAGCTCCCGCAAGACGTTGCTGGAATTGGTCTTGTAAAGCTCGAGGTCCTTCGTCGTCAACTTGTAGTGGTGAACTTCCCGTACGTCGCATTTTATCCGATGGTGGTTTCAGCACGCTTTTCACTGGTGTCCCCATATGGTGCTTTTCAGCCGGCATCTTCACGTAAGCTGCCGAAGACACGAGCACCCAGAAAAACAATCGAAGACCTGCGTGGGTAGTAGGAGGGAAGTGTACGGGTATGCGAAATGCTTGGCGCGCCTTGAATGCTGGGCCCCTTGAGCCATTTGTGTTGTGTCTTCTTTTTTCTTGTGTTTTCTGCAAGACGGCTCCAGGCAGACTGCATGTCTTATGAGGATGGCTTCCGCCTCGTGCCCCGATCATCCCAAACTGCCTGAGCGGTTCCCCAAACCCAGCGCTTGCCCAAGCGCGTTCCGGACGGTCTTCGCCGGAACGCGCTGGAATGATCACGCGCTGCGGTTTCCCATGCCCACGTCCTCGGACGTGGGTGCCCTGCCACGAGCGCGTTCCAGGAAGATGCTCCCGGAACGCGCTGAAAAGATATGGCCACATCTCGGGGACGCTCCCGACACCGCTCCCCCAGCCTTTCCGGGCAGCCTCCACGGCGCTCCAGGAGGGCCCAAGACACCCCCCAGGAGCCCCCAGAATGCGAAAGGATGGCCCAAGACGCTCCCGAGCAGCCCAAGTCAGCCTTCCGACGTCTCTCGAGGCTCCCAGGTGGCCTCCAAGAGACCCCAAGAAGTCTGATAGGTATCACGGTACGGCCCGAAGAGGCCAAAGTCGTATATGTTCAATTGTTTTTTTCAATGTTTTTGACTTCTCGCGTTTTCGAGCTTCAACGGTCCAAGAGCGCCGAAGAGCTTCCCAAGACCGCCCCAAGACCACCCAAGATACCTTCAGGACGGCCCCAAGACGGGCCAAGAAGGCTCCAACACTCCCGAAGAGGCGCCCAGCACAGCCCCAGACCACCCCAGAACAGGCCCAAGATGGGCCCAAGAGCGGGAGCAGGAGGCTTCCAGAGACCTCCGAGAGGCCTCCGGGACCCCCCAGAGGCCCCCAGCACACCCCCGATCCTTGAGAGGCCCCAAACAGACCCCGACGAGGCTCCAAGAACAACCCAAGAGAGCTGCGAGAGCCGTCCCGAGAGAGCCCAAAGAGGGTAACATCGTTGATTTCCAATGGTTTTTCCTATGTTTTTCGCCTTCTCACGTTTTCCCGCTTCCAGCCCTCAAAGATCGAGGATTTGGGAAAAAGGATAGGGAATTACAAAAATTGTGTTTCATCAAAGTGGAACTCCTACTCGGGGGTCCTACATATCCCCTGACATCTGGCCGGTACCGGTCCAAGACCTGAGGCTCCATGGGGTGTGGGTGTCGAAGCGCGGTGGGGGCGCGGTGGGGGGTGTCGGTCGTTTTTGGATGAGAAATCGTGGTGTGGGGGGGTCCAAGCACTGAGGCTCCATGGGGTGTGGTTGTCGGGGCGCGGTGGGTGTCGGTCGTCTTGGGACGAGAAATCGTTGGTGTGGGGGGTGACGAGAAATCGTGGTGTGGGGGGGTCCAAGAACTGAGGCTCCATGGGGTGTGGGTGTCGGGGCGCGGTGGGGGCGGTGGGTGTCGGGGCGCGGTGGGGGCGCGGGTGTCGGTCGTTTTTGGACGAGAAATCGTGGTGTGGGGGGGTCCAAGAACTGAGGCTCCATGGGGTGTGGGTGTCGGGGCGCGGTGGGGGCGCGGTGGGGGGTGTCGGTCGTTGTTGGACGAGAGATCGTGGTGTGGGGGGGTCCAAGAACTGAGGCTCCATGGGGTGTGGGTGTCGGGCCGCGGTGGGGGCGCGGTGGGGGGTGTCGGTCGTTTTTGGACGAGAAATCGTGGTGTGGGTGGGGTCCAAGAACTGAGGCTCCATGGGGTGTGGGTGTCGGGGCGCGGTGGGGGCGCGGTGGGGGTGTCGCCCAGTGTCTTCGAGGGTAAAGATGCCGGGGCCAGAACGTTGGTTTTTGGACGAGAAATCGTAGTGTGGGGGGGTCCAAGAACTCCGAGGCTTAGCGGCGACTGCGTGCGGGACCAAAGCGAGAGCCTCACTGCGCATGCTGTGAACTGCAAGCTTCGGGGTCGTGAGCGGCGAGGGAGCCCGAGGCGAAACTCCCGGCCTGCCCTGCCGACACGTCAGGGGTGCGATAGGGATGGAGGAGGAGGAGGAGGAGGAGGAGGAAGAGGAGGAGGAGGAGGAGGAGGAGGACGAGGAGGAGGAGGAGGAGGAGGAGGAGGAGGGAGAGAGGAGGAAGAGGGAGGAGGAGGGAGGAGGGAGGGTGAGGGAGGGAGGGAGGGAGGAGGAGGGATGAGGAGGAGGAGGGGGGAGAGAGGAGGAGGCAGGAGGAGGAGGAGGAAAAGCAGGAAGAGGAGCGAGGAGGAGGAGAAGGAGGAGGAGAGGAGGAGGAGGAGAATAGGCGGGGATGGGGGAGGGGGGAGAAGGGCGGAGGTAGGAAGAGGAACAGGCGGAGGAGGAGGAGGAGGAGGAGGAGGAGGAGGAGGAGGAGGAGGTGGAGGTGGAGGTGGAGGAGGAGGAAGAGGAGGAGGAGGAGGGGGAGGGGGAGGGGGAGGGGGAGGGGGAGGAGGAGAAGAATGCGAAGGACGAATGGAGCAGGAAAAGGTGGATGATTAAGAGGCTGGATGATGATACTTGAAATCGCAATGACTGGCGCGCTGTCTCCTGGGCGCTTGTGCAGGCAGTCCACCAGGAGGTGCGGAATATCCAGAGGCGAGGCCTTCTGGAGCTCCACGAGGACATCTTAAGGGCGTTTGGATGCTTCTTTCTTCCCATTGAGGTTTTCTTGGGGCCTCTTGGTTTCTTCGTTGGGCGCCTGCCTCCGCCTTCGGGGGTCGTGTTTGGGCGGTTGGCCCGAGAGGGGAGTTCGATGTACCCCTTGGGGCCCTGTTCGGGTCCCTTGGGGCCGTCGCAAGCGTTCCTTGAGCCGTATTGGAGCTCTCTTGGGCGGTTTTGGGGTCTTCAGCGGGCTTGTTGGGTCGCTTTTATGCTTGGGTCGTCACAGGACTCGCTTGGGCGGTTTTGGGGTCCTCGAAGGGATTATTGGGTCGCCTTGGAGCGATGTGGCGGGCCTCTTGCGCCGTCTTGGACACTGTGAACATGAAGATTGCGAATCCGTTGACCATGTATGTTTTCCTGAGGCATTGGGGCAAGTTTGCATTGTGTGACCCTCTTGGAGATCCTGTTCGAGACCTCTACGGCGTCTTCGAAGCCTTTGTGCAGTTTTTTGGACGTCGTGGGTGTCTTGGAGGCTCCCTTGGCGTGTTGGTGCCCAGATGGAGCGAGCTTAGAATCGGAGGCATCTTGGAGGTCGCGCAATCAGAATTTGGAGTCTCCAGAGGCCCTTCGGGTGCTTTGACGAACTCGAGGACCCCACCGGGGTGTGTGGGGCCCCCAAATGCGATTTTGGACCCTGGGGGAGGGGGAAGGGGTGAGGGGGACAGCCAATTGTCCCACACGCCATGTCGCCCCCCGGCAAGTGGAGGTCGGCGGATTTGATCTTGCTTCCGTGGTGCAGCTGGCATTTGTCTACGTCGATGGAGGATGACGGTGAGGAGGAGGAGGAGGAGGAGGAGGAGGAGCAGGAGGACAGGGTGCACTGCCGCTCTTTCTCCCATATTCGCTCTCTCTGTCTCTCGCTTTGTATTTTCTCGCTCTTGCTCTCCCTCCCTCCTCTCTCTCACTCTCTGTCTGTCTGTCTGTCTGTCTGTCTGTCTGTCTGTCTGTCTGTCTGTCTGTCTGTCTGTCTGTCTGTCTCTCTCTCTCTCTCTCCCTCTCTTTTTCTCTCCCTCTCTCTCTCTCTCTATTCATATGTATTCCTCAGAAGGTGCTTGTTCTCAGGGGTTCTTATTGAATCGCTTCGCTCATTCCGCCAGCCCATATTGCGCGCCGTTGTCGACTGACCGAGTGGTCTTTCGCGGTGCGGAGCTGCAGGGGCGGTGGCTGTTTTTATCAGGCTTTGCGTTCGGCATGTGAGGCTTCTTGGTGGCCGCTGGGGGAGTCTTGAACGCGTCGCGGGCCGTCTGGAAGCGTTTTGCCTATGGGGACTCTTTCGGGAGGCCTCTTGGTGGCCGCTTGGGCACTCTTAAACGCGTCGGGTCGTTGGCACTTGCTTGCGTGCTCGGGGTGGCATTTGGGTGGCCTCCTGGGGCCGCTTGGGGGCCTCTTGGGGGCCTCCTGAGGGCCTGTTGGGGGCCTGTTGGGGACTCCTGGGGGCTTCTTAGGGCCGAGGGCTCGAAATGTTGTTCCCCTCCTGGGACCTCTCTTGGGGCGGTCTTGGGGCCTTCTTGGGCCGTCTTGGAGGCCTGTTGGGCTGTCTTGGAGCCTTCTTGGGCCGTCTTGGGGCCCTCTTGGGGGCCTCTTGGGCCCTCTTGTGGCGGTCTTGGGGGCTTCTTGGGCCGTCTTGGGGTGTCGGGAAGCCGGGAGATCTTGCACGCCTGTGA